AGTACTGCATTGTTTTCCTGCTCTGGCCATCTTTCTTCATATTGGCCAGAAGCTTTCGTATTTCCGTTTCTAACTCATCTTGGGCTTCAATGAATTTGGCAAACGTTTCCGTTATGGGGGGCATGATGATGTTGTGAGGTGATGAATTATCACTTTCCTTTTTATTTTAATTTTGTAGCACTGGCACTACACTAACACTCACGGCGATTTGTTTTATCACACGCCGCGGCGAATTTTTTTTTTTTTTTTTTTTTTTACGAACAAATCACTGATTTTTCGCGGCGAAGGTTCAAAAGGTTTAAATACCTTTTTAGGCTCGAAGGACCATGTTCGGCGAAGCTTAAGGGTTGTGTAGCAAATAACAGTCGCTGTTGTACTATTATAAAAACTCGATTTATTATAAAAATAATTTGATTATATACAATTTCTAACTTAAACTAAAACAGTAAATCTAAAACATTGGCTACCTTAATGATGAATTACCAATTTATTTTATAAAACTATATTGATGATTGTTTGTTTGTCGCTGGCATAATGACCCAATTAAGACATTTCGCTGATCGTTGCTGACCGCGCGGAAGTGTCTGCTCGGGTCGGTGCACTATTGCGACAAACTTGTCGAAATGTTAAATTTTATAAAAAAATGAAAATTGTTCGTTTGAACACCTACAGTGTCTACATGAACATGAAAATATAATTTTTATTTATTACAATGAAAACGTGGCAATTGTACCATTGTAATAAAACTTGCGATTAATTGCAAGTATACTCGGAAACTTTTTCAGCAAATTCAAGTCGTTTTCAACAAAATAACATAGGTGTCAACATTTACATGTTGACATATATTACTGTAATGTACAAATAATTTTGCAACATCAGATATTTTCCATGTCATCAATCTTAAAAATGCTGTATGATATAAATGCAAATTAGCCCTCAAATCGCATTGTGTTATTTTTCTTGTAATAGATTACTAAAAATAACAATTAAAAATAACATTAAATAAACAAAATCCCGAAAAATAAACGACAGATAATATTCATAAATAACTATGATTGCGTAAAAAGTGGCAACTTTACACAGATAAAAACATAAAAACGAATATTAAAGTGTTGGTAAGTTTAAAAATACAAACTGCACATAAAACTAAAAACTGCCAAAGGCTCTTTTATATCCGTCGCCGACGGTAGTTTTAATGGGTAATCGTTTTTGATCAGCTTTATTATTCGTACAGTTTGCATAACACCGCGTCAAAATTCAGGTAACTTGATTATAATTTCTCTTTTACAAATAATGTAGAAAGTTAATAACTTAAATTATAAATTTGCGAAGAAGAATCGATCAATTTGTCAAGTTGTCTTGGAAAGTTGTTACTTTAAATAACATTTTAAAATAAGTAAATGATAATTTTCTTTAACATAGCATATTTTTATAATCTAATAAAGTTTTAATTTTAGGACAATGGATTGCAGAGTCCTGCTTTTCTGGCTATCTACAAACTGGATACACGGTAAGAATGTGTAACTTCGCAATTTACACGTCTTGCATTTGTGTGAAACTTTTGGAAAATCCCGCTCTGATAGAAACGGACCTGTAAACTAATCACTTGCAGGAAAGTTGCAAGCTGCAATACGCCACTCGATACAGTCGGGGATTGTAATTGTACTGCATCGCTGCCAATGATGTATGTATGCATACATACAATAAAACTTGCATTTCAAATATGATCCAAAAGAAGCGCACAAAAACATGTAAACATTAAATCCCTGTTATTTTAAACTGTCTAATCATCTTTATTTAGATCGAATCGTATTTTAATTGAGTGCAATCAACTCGGAATTCCCAAAACGTTCAACTTCCTACATCCAATTACTATCATCACCGGATAGTTTCTATTTGTTTTTGAATTGATTTTTACAGCGTTGGCCAGTTTTCAAATTCAATACCCAGTGATTGAAGCAAAGAGTGCAACCTACATTTGGAATAAGCAATAAAGAGAAAGAAGCAGGAAATTAAATAACTTTATTTTTTTGGCATTCTGTAATTAATAAGCTTTAATAAAAAAAATCATTTATTTCCAGTTCTGGTAAGATGTAATAGTAAGTGTGGCATTGGCATCGCACTAGGATCAATTTGAAGCTAATGTTCAAAGGCGTTCTTGACAAGATCTGTATAGAAAATTGTTGTATTTTTGTATGTTTTATAAAAAGCTTCTTACAGCTGGAGATAGCTTTTGATATCGAAAAACGGATTCATCACTCAATATGAATTCAGAAAGTTGCAAGAAACCTTTCTCTAAAAATAGGGATTTTGAAGGCTGTACTTTTGGTACGTTCTAAATACCTCTTTGATGGTGAACATTTGGATTATGCATGCAAAATGAATTTATCTGTGAAAATTGCAAGTTTAATCTAATAACAAATTTTAATCTATATTAACGATAACGCTGTAATAACTGCACAATAATGAACAAGTTGCAAAACTGAAAGTGGATATTTAGCTCCCTTTGTGCGTAACAATGTTTATTTCGGTTAGATTGCCTTAAACCCAAACTTGCATGAAAAGTAATTTGGGCTGAATGTGCCTTTGGTATTTATTGAAGGCAATTTGCTATTTATTACGTATTAACAATAAATTATTTATTAACGACGAAAATAAAATTTTACGCACTACACTTACCGAAGTTATTACGTAATGAACATAAAGTTAAATCCGAATTTACGGCCGATTCGGAAAGGTCCGGTCAAATAATAAACAAGAAAAATACAAACACCGCTCTTTAACTCTAACTGCTAAAATTCGCATTTTAACAACATCCTGTTCTGCTATTAATCGAATAATGGAGATAACCGACTGCATAGACCATTAGTCGATAACAAATCCAATAATCGTTAATTAATCCACAATCCGGCCATTGTGCATCGGTAACAATGTAACTCTGCAATAATTGATTAAATAATTTTCGACTATCATAACAAATACTATTGACCACAATATTTTTATCTTCCTAATGACAAATTCAGATTTAGGTATATGTAAATTACAATAAACGCGCGATTATTTAAATCAATCCAGCAAACACTGACAAAGTGACAAGCCGTCATTTAGCGGCCTGCGGTTCGATTCTCGGTGATTTTGCTATACACCATCATAATACACAATAAATTTCAATTAATTCCAGTTGCAAGAAGTAAAATTTTCGTGCTTGGTGATGGCGTAACACCAGCACTTGAATACAAAAAATATTCACGCAGTCAATGTGAACATTTTTTCTTCTGTTACGAGCTGATGAACGAGTTTAAAATTGCTTCTGATCGCATTACACCGTACAAATTGTCAGAGTAGTAGCGGATTCTTTGAAAAATCTATTTATGCATAATTAAGTCACGTAGTTTTGCTGCCTTTCCTTTAATAAAAGAGATTTGCATGAATAAAGTGTAAACAATTTTCTAAAAATAAAATATTCCTATCAATAGTATTTACACATTTCATATAATTATAAACGTTAAGATGTGGATCAATGTTTGTACAAGCTACTTGAAAATTATTAGGAAATTTCTTGTTACCTTTAATAAAATCCATATTACTCTTCCTTTCCCAAATCTTGATTTAATCCACGTTTAATTTCCTTCGGTATAGCAGGTGAGGGGTTAGTGCTTAACTAAGTTCATGTTTGTACAAGTTGATGACACGAACTGGATTCCTCTTAACCTTAAATGTTTCTAAATAAATTGCTCTCTAGATGCAATGTGCGCTTACATAAATTTTAGAATGATAAATAAAATTTAACATTTTCCAAAGTTACCTTCTAATTTACTTTTTTTCAGAAAAGTTTGCAATTTATGGCCATTTAACCGGCTGCTTTTTCAACCACAAACTTTAAATTTAATTTTCTAACAATTATATTTTTAAAATATGAAACTGTTAAAACTGTTGTTATAAAAGGTTGAAGCTTCGGAAACAACATTTATTTTTATTCGAGTACATTTAGGTATTGATTTATGCTGTTACTGACACAATATTTTTGTTTCCAGACATTTCTTTTTTTTATAGAAACGCAGAGCGTACAATTAAATTGGAGTATATTCAGTATTAAGTATTAAGAACCGTAAGGACATTTTATCGATCGAAGACAATTGTGTGTGATTAATCAATGTTAAAATAAACGGATGTAATGAAGTTGAAGATATGATGTATGGTGAATGGGTTAGATGGATAAAAAGTGTATTGTTTGGGATAAATTGGTACATGTGCTGTGTCGATTGATGCGCTGTAATCTAGTGGCTTCATGTATGTGTTAGGATGGCCAATGTCGCTTTTTCGTATTATCCTATATTGAATGTTCTTGCTGGTTGAGCTTAAAGTGGTTTTTGTTCGAAAACGTACTTCTGCTGATGGACTAATGGATGTAAATTCAAATTTTATGCCCACTCATGAATATTTCTATTCAATATCACGGGTGGACATTTCTCTTTTTATCACCATATCTCATTTAGCTGGTGAATGAATTATAAGACAATTCGCATAAGAGCTTTATGTAATCATATTTAAAACCCTAATCAGTGCATTTGAATAAATTTAATTCATTTATCTGAAATAGTTTTATTCAAATGTCTTGGTCATTTAGATTTCAGTTTGGAAATGGAAAGAATTTTAAAGTGTCGATAAGAGGTTATGCAGGTAAGCGTCATTCGTAGTGTTATGGCCGGTCTATGCTAAACGTTTGAGGGCTTACCCGGAATCCCCATAACATTCTGAACGCGGGCTTATAAGCATCGCATCAGAAATCAACCCTAGAATAGTAAGCAGGACCTATGTATGCTAATTTACTTCGATTTTGCACTACCCCACTCAAGTCGCTACCTAAGTACTTCGTTTCATTTACATAAATTTGTAAACAAAACAATGTTTATTTGACTTTGATTGGCAAATTTAGCAGAATAAATAATAATCCTCATAAGCACACAGCTTTTACAAAGCTCACTCTCCCAGCTCCAGTTTCAGGAAGCTCGATACAAAACAACTTTTACAATTATTGATTTTTATAACTGCGGTGATTAACTTCTAAAAAGCTTATCTATACGCCAATTTGAACTCTCGAACTTAATTACTTCCAAACTATGTACTTTTAAATTGAATAAATCTAACTAACAAGCTATTTTACAATTCACCAATTCGACAAACGACGACAAAATTAACACGCAATTGACAGTTAATTGTCTCTTTAACACCAACGTTTACAGTAGTATACCACGTTGTCGCCAGATTTGTCACAACATAAAGATAAAACCGTCTTAATAGCTGTCACACCTTTATGTTATTCATCTTTTCATTCATTATGAAATAAATGCGGCTTTGTCATACAAAACTCAATTCGCTGTCAAGAGTACACACACAAAACACCAACCCTAATTAACAAACACAAATCCAAACACCTCCCAGTAATTCGATGCAGTTATGTTACGGCATGTACTCTATATTTAAAAAAAGCAATCAACATTAACTAATTCATACACACAAAAACATAATTATTACCTACAACAACTCATAAACAACTATGTATGTTATTAATAGTGTTACATTCTCAATCACTTGTTTTCGTAACTGATAAACCGATGCGGTTTTCCATGTGCAGATGTGTTTCAAAAGTAAATAACAAAAACAATTGAGGATAATGGCCTAGACCTAGAATACAACGTAGTGTAAATTAAAAGTGTCACTCAGATACAAAATTGACAAAATTTGTATTCATGAATTCCACTTCAAATGAATTATTGGTTCTAAACACACGTGATACGTTCATTCCGGTCACCCTTGATTAGAACTCAGATATTCCTACTTAGAAAATTACCATATCGATTGATAACACTTCATTAATGATCTTTAGGTTTATGCTGTCAAAAACTGGTTGACTTCTCAGATTAATCTGTTTCTGATTAATAATGCGAAAGTTAAAACATCACTAGGTGATTTATTGTTTTGCGTGTAAAGAGAAAAAGTCGGTCACCAATAATAATTGTAAGAAAAGTGGTTGATTTTTAAAAGAGCGACATATGAAATGACTTTGGGGAAATTATGAATTTAAAGTTAAGGAAATTATATAAGTTTGTTGAAGGTGGTGCTAAAATTATCACGCCAACCCTCAGTGGCGTCATGAAGAATCATCATTTAGCCATTACAAGTTACTTACAGTTTAGGACAAAACTTTGCATAGTAAAATTTTTAATAAATAATAAGCCGTTAAAAATATCGAAAACACTGCCATTTTTAACGAGTTTGTAAGAAAGTGTTTTTTATTTTGCCAACAAAGCAGTTTAATAAATGTTCAGTTACAGATATACTAGTCATTTATCGAGTGTTTCAGCATTTCATTTGAGCGACATTAAAACTGTCAAGCCTGTTGTCAAGCCGGTTTAAAAACGAATTATTAATTACAAAATTTCATTGTGAAATGTTAAATAAATTTATTTTTAGCTTGGAAAGGATCTGAAGAAAAAAATCCTGGCTGTA